GATTAATAATCAAGATTGTGTTGGATCAGTGGGGGTATATATGTAGTCGACGTTATTCATATTTAAATGGAAAATGATTTGATTATCAATTCATTGATTCACCTAACAAAATAGTCATTGTGTATCCGATTTTGATGATTATAATATTAGTCAGTAATAGGTTATATGTAATGAAAATAAGTAAAAAGTGTGTATATAAGTAAATAGCATGTATCTCACGTCAGTCTACCGTGGACCATTGAAAATGACGGACTTAATATCAGAGTGCTGCTGCTTCTGCTGCTGAGGAGTGTGTTCGCATTTAATGTTTCTACCGCATATTAAATACCTAAAAGCCAAATGCCTGAAGGCCCTCGATTTGTTAAAAGTTGTGTCTAATTCGAAATGGGGAAGGGATCAAACTACTCTCCTACACTTGCATAGATCAATAGTCCGATCGAAACCCGATTATGGCTCCATCGTATACGGTGGGGCCTGTAAAAGCAACCTTAAACTACTTGATTCCGCCCACCACCATGGTTTTAGACTTTGTCTTGGATCTTTCAGAACCTCTCCTGTTGACAGTCTTTACGTCGAGGCTGATGAGCCATCTCTAAAACATCGACGGATCATACTATCATTACAATATATTACCAAACTATATTCTAACGGGTATAACCCTGCTTACAATTGTGTTTTTTAATCCTCTCTATGAGAATCTGTACAATAAATAATCATCACCTATTCCTCCTCTTGGAATACGAATTAAACCTTTCCTTTCTTATGAGTGAGTGAGTGAGTGAATATGGCTTTACGCCGCTTTTTAGCAATATTCCAGCAATATCACGGCGGGGGACACCAGAAATGGGCTTCACTCATTGTACCCATGTGCCTTTCTTATGCTGGCATTGAGCTAGAAAATATAGCTCCTTCCTGTCTTCTGTCTTCTGTCTTCTCCTCCTTGGCAATCGGTGAGGCCACTAGTTGACCTGACAATGACCGCTTTTACAAAATCAGAAACTAATGAATTACAATATAAACAAGTATATAATCAATTAAAAATTAAATATAATACATACAAATCCTTATTTACTGATGGATCCAAGGATGGTGGCGCAGTGGCTTGTGCTACTGTCATTGGATCCAGAACAATCTCTTCTCGATTACTAAGTGCTAAAAGCGGCGTAAAACTAAACTCAGTCAGTCAGTCAGTCTCGATTACCAAATAATAGCTCTATTATTACAGCAGAAGCAAACGCAATGCTAACAGCTCTTAAATATACTAATACACACCCAAAATATAAGCAATACATAATCTTTTCTGACTCTCTTTCTTGCCTTCAGGCTATTAAAAATCTTTCTAGCAAACATCCACTTTTATTAGAAATTATTGAATTGTATAATGAGCTGTGTTGGTTACCCAGCCATGTTGGAATATCTGTTATAATAATAAGTTCTCACTTAATTATTGCATTTTTAAAAGAATTAGACTTGTTATCTGATTTGTAAATAGATAAATATTTTATGATTGGAAGTTTGAATTAATAACTCAGATTGTTAGTGGCTGTATCCTCAAGGGGTTTAAAGTGCTGTAAAATTATTGTCCTCCTGAGAGGATACCTAAGTCCACAAACATTTTAAGTAACTTTCCACTGTTTTTAATCGTAGAATATGCGTTTTTAAATGTATGGCTAGATTTGTCTACGTTGCTAACGGCTGAGGAGATGGTGTAAAACCAGCTAGGGCCCATGCAGGAAGCAAATGTACTGTAAGTCCCCATGGTCCCTAGTATGGTGATCTACCTTCAGTCGTTGACAATCTATAGCCTGTTTTTATATTGTATTGTCATTTATAGTTCCAATAGTTTAGATTTAATTGCTAGTTTTAAATGGGTATCTGTGATACACTAGTAGTTTTACTGTTCTTCGTCAACGGGTGTTTTAATGTCTTACTTTATTGATCTATAATATAATTATAAACTGATATGGCTGAAATATTGCCGATGTGACGATAAATATTAACTCACTCACTCATTTAATTATTGCATTTTTAAAAGAATTACATTTGTTAAATGATTTGTAAATAGATAAATGACATTTTAAACATAGTAGTATAAATTAGCAACTGCGATTGTTAATGGCTGTATCCTCGAAGGGGGTTAGAGTATCGTAAAATTATTGTCCTTCTGAGAGGGTACATGAGTCCCAAAACTTTCAAAGTTAATTTTTGCTAACCTGATTTTTAAACGTAGTATATTTGTTCCTTTAAATTTCGGCTAAACTTACCTACAATCGCCAGCGGCTGAAGGGGTGGTGTAAATCCAACTAGAGTCCATGCAGGTAGCAAAGGTAATGTTAGTCCCCATGGTCCCTAGTATGGTGATCTACCTTCAGTCGCTGGCGATCTATAGCCTGTTTTCATCTTGCATTGTCCTAATAGTGCTATTAGTTTTAACATTCCACACTATTTGTAATTCTAATTGTGATATTGTAGTTGTTTTACTGTCCTTTGGTGACAGGTTTTTATAATACACACATATTCCATTTCAATGTCAAATATGCTCCCGTCGCGATATGGCTGAAATATTGCCAATGTGACGTTAAATATTAACTCACTCACTCACTTTTAGAGACGGTGCCATAAGGGGGCGCCACTTGTCAAACAAATGCTGTGGTGACTTGCTATTACATAACTAGAATCTGAAGACCTTGTTCTACAAAATGATACCAAATTTAGCAATTTCTTGACATTTTGATATTTGGTATGCAACCTCCTTAGTTGTTTATCGATTGCATGCGACGGCAGCCTGGTGATCAACAAAGCAGGTGGGTTGGGTACACCGAAGCATCCAGCCTTGTCAAGATTTATTGTGCTATGAAGCATTTCGAGTCATCTGATTTTATTTTTTAAATCTTTATTCCTTGCAAAGACACAAGGGCCTGTGGATAGAATGGGGACATTGTTATGCGTTCTGCAACAATGTTTTAGCTGTAATACATTGTACATGTGGATTCCTGTATATGAGGGGAGATAGTTATTGCCTCTTATCTCACATTGCATCTCAAGAATACCGCCATTTTATGTAATCACTCCATATAAGTGGGAGAGAGAGAGGGATATGTGGTCAAGGTTGGTGTATTAAGATATGAATATAATTTGTAAAAAAAATTTGTTTGCCTATCTGCATTGTCTTCGAGTTACAACGGTAGTTGGATCAGTAATAAACGTTTCAAATACAAAACCGGAAGGTTTAACGAACGGAGGAAAAGACAAAGATACTCCTTATCCAGGTGTCTAGAGCCTAACAACTAAAAATATTAAAAGAAAGAACAGTTTGATGGATTACTTTGTCCCGTGTGCAGATCCGCAGACCTTCCTCCTTGACGTAGATGATACGAGCCATCTCCATGTACCTGTCGTGGTCAAAGTTGTTTTTTATGCCCAGCATGTGACAGTCACGTGCGAAGTAATCCCACTTGTCCACGTCAATTCCTGTTTGGGCGTTGGCAACAATCTGGAGATAAAATGTGTCACAAAATACACTAAAGTTTAAATTGTGAAATCCCCTTAATTGAACGACTTGTGGCAAATGAAGCACAGAAATGGCCCCAACAAAGTGTCCTTATAATTTGATATTTACTGCATATTTAAGTACCAACAAGTAACTCATGTATTTGCTACATAAACATCTGGTATAAAATACTTACTTCATAAAGGAAACATCTCTTTTGTTGCACAAGTTCATCTTTTTCATTCGTCTGCAAAAGAACGTGGTAAAACATGGTTTAAAAGGATAAAAAGACAAACATGTCAGCAATCATGTTTTTCAAAGTACATTGTAGAATGGGTTTAACGTCCAGTACGATTATCATACCTCAAGGTGCATGCGCATGTGAGTTCTCAACCCCCCCGCGCCCCCGAATTAAAAACTCAAAATATATACTCAAATGCAGAGTGCACCTCCTCTTCTTTTTGGTCTTTTCCTTCTTAATTTATCATACGTTTTTCTTTGTGGTCCAGAACCGCTAATATGTATACTACTGCTCGTGTCATACCGTATACCGGGAAATTTTCAAGGTACTAAAATTTCGAAGTTTGAGACCCCCAGAGCTTTCGAGGTGATTTAAATTTCGAGGTTTGGGGGCCTAAAATATATAAATATTTAAGACAATTTTAATTTCGAGGTTAGAAGAAAGTGGCCAGAAACATGACTTACCGGAATAATACTCACTTAGCTATCGGCAAAACTCCTAGTAGCCAGTGAAAACTGCCGTCTGACTGTTATAACTACCGGTATACCAGTCCATGGCAGAAATCATAGTAATGAAAACAACCCTTTGATCCTTTGTTGCGATAAATGACCCATGAAACACTCTGTCGGCAGTGCTCAAACATGACGCCATTTTTTCTCAGACGATTTTGGTTTTTTTAACAACTAACTATAAGCATGTATGATGGGTCTCTGCTGAAACTATATTGTTGTTAGAAAGCTGACCTCTTTAGCGAAACTGACTAACTGCATGGATGCCTTACAGCCCCAGGATGTTTGTGTAAACAATCCCCTTAAAGACGCGCATTCATCAAACCTGGCATCGCCGATGCAGTCCGTTTGGCCAGAGAGTGACATCGAGTGTATTGACAGTTGGTTTGACTTCACATGTAAGACACTGATTGAATTACCTATTTTTAATAATGCATGTTATTCTGGACCAACAAGTACAACACAATTAAATAGTCTCGACACCGCATTTCTGTTGTTTGTTTATTCAGGCCGTTCAGGGTCACTGAACGTTAAGATTAGTTGTAGACAGGCATTACAGAGTTAATGCGCATGTCAGGAAGTCATTGGTTGCCAGCAGTCGAAATGCTTATCGATAGGAAATCTGACCCAAAGGTTTGAAGTTCGGAAAAATTCATGGATAGAATATTTTCGAGGTTGCGTTTCTTACCTCGAAAACCTCGAAAATTAGATACCTCGAACATTTCCCGGTATACGGTATATTGATTTCATTTGTCAGATACATATACATACACATGGTACCAAATTCATATTCCCTTTTCCCATACTGTAGGCACATTACTTAACTGTTGGTTTTTGACCTAAAATGATGTCCTTGATCAGCTTCAGACGAGACCCATTTGTGTCAAACTTATCAAAGGCCTTCTTCACGTCCTCATTGTCTTCAAGTAAGTGGTCCAGCATCTTCACTGACGCATCCTCATGCTGAAACGATTTAAGTAAAGTACAGTAAAGTAACTTCATTGTCCATGTAGAGTTTTGGAACATATTTTCACGAGTGACATTTTTTTCCGTAATAACTCGTTTTTTCTATTTATTACCCATAATCATATGAAAGATATGCTTCCGGAAATAGAAAAATAAATACTGACGCACTTCAGGAATTGTCTGTTTTGTATCAATCCGTGTGTATAATTATAAACGTTAATAAATGCATATTTATAATGCGCCTATTCCATATTTACACAAGAAAAAAAATGGTGATTTCCAAAAATTTCCAATTTGGAAATATCATATTTCCAAAAAATTCCAGGATTTTACCACTCCTTTCAGTTTCTCCTTTTCCCAAGGATCCCCATGAGTGTATAGAGTGTGTATTCGTCCTCCTAGGAGTGTATTCGTCCTCCTATGGGATCAACTAGGAACCAGTTCTATATTTAGTATAACCCCGGAGACTATAAGACATTGCAGATTATCCCTGGTATAACTTCACTCGTCTGCATCCTTGTTGTTCTAGGTGTTAAAAATTGATATTGACTGTCATATTTGCCCTGATATGGCTAGCATTTTCCAAAATACCGTTTTAAGTGTATGTTTTACTTATTATCCACAGAGGCGCAAATAGTTTTGACCTGTCACGGTTTGCATAAACATAAATTACATAGACCTACGTTACATCATTGCTTAAATAAAAGTTTACCGGACCCACTGACTAACTGGACAGGGTTTATTACATGTCATAAAAGTGAACCCTTGCCAGGGAATAATAGGTTTATGGTAGTAGAATACATTCTTTAATGGTACCCTCTAATTAACACCTGTCACAAGGGATGGACCGTTTGGGTGGTTTATCATTGCGAAAGCAACAGTAAAGACTGTTGGGTTTGTGGTCAACTATTAATTTGGTCATATACAATAAAAGGTGACTATGTTTAATTTTAGATATCTTTAAATAATTTCTAGAGAAATCACTACATAAGTTCATATCACAGATGATTCCAGAGACAAATAGTTTATGAGATTCTAGTTTATGAAAAGCATTAAATTCCAAACAAGCCAATCTGTTCTCTAATGCTCAGGAATTATTACCACTTACATGAAAATAGTTTGAGATGTCGACTCAGGAAGCCGACCTTTCAATTTTTATAAGGCTCAGGACGTCGACTTGCGCATGCGTCGAGGTGACAAGACGTGTTTGAGTCTCCATCTGATTGAATCAACACGATTTTAGTGTAAACTGCCTCAAAATACAACAAAGCTGTCTACAAAGTATGGGAAAGAAGTTCATATCACCTGAAAGTGATAAGAAGGGCCGAAAACGACATAAACAGTCTACCTCACCTACCGAAATCAGCGAGAAGACTACAGGTGACACGTCAAAAATGGCCACGTCAACACCGGGTAGCACAGCCAACATCGTGGGAGAATCCCTCCAGACTATCTACACGCCCAACCAGCAGACTCTCTTCACTACCCCACAAGGACAATATATAAGTCAGGTACCGTTTCACTGCAACCCTCTCGCACAACCTCTACCCCCCAGCCCTTGTCTTGACTCAACCTCGGCAGCCATTTTGGCCAGGTTAGAGTCCATGGATCACAAACTTTCTAAGTTGGACTCAATAGTGAAAGATGTGAATGACATTAAGACAAACATTGCTAACTTGGAACTAAAAGTGAAAGATATTGACGACGTTAAAGGAAGGGTCAATGCTTTGGAAGAAAGCGCAAGGTTTCTCAGTGACAGCTATGATGATCTAAAACTGAACAAAGTGGAAATGGAAAAACAAATTGCTGATATTAGGGCCCAGTCAGCAAGCAGTCCAAATAACAATTTAAGCCTCCGTGAAGCCCTCGTAGACCAACGTTGCCGATCTATGAGAGATAATCTCATATTCACCAACATCCCTGAGTATGTAACTACAACAACTCAACCTTTCGAAGACTGTGAACAAGTACTGAGAAACTTTATTAAAGATGAACTAAAACATGAGGATGGTGACAAGATTTAATTCAAACGTGTTCACAGAATAGGACCTAAACGCAGTCCACGATATCATGGGGAGTCTATCAAACCTCGACCCATCATTGCAAAGTTTCTTATCACAAAAGAGAGAGATAGCGTTAAAAAATGTGGGAAAATGTTGAAAGGAAAACCATTCCATATTGTAAAACAATTCCCGGAAGAAATCAGTGACTATAGAAAGAATGTTCTGATGCCTCTGTTGAGGGAGGCTAGGAAAAGCGGGAAGAAAGCAGTGATTGTAGTAGACAAGCTGTATGCTGAGAATACCCTCCAGTCCCCTGTCCATCCCCCCTACAGAGTACCTCAGGGGCCCAGCCATCCCATACAGAAACCCACATAGGAAGACGTCGGTGGGCAGGAGCTTGAGTCAGTCAGTACTACATGGCCTGAATCCCCCTCTGTATATTATCCACCAGAACAATATGACACTCACTCATGTAAACCCCAAACCTCCAAAAGTGACTCACAAATACCCCAGTTCTCATTAAAGACAGAAGTACAAACTACTGAGACCTCATATGATCGATACCTAGTCAGTATTGCTACATATGCCAAAGCAAATACATCAATGACTCTCATTTGCAATGGCTCCCATATGTACCCTGAATACAGGGATGTTAATATTGCAGACCAAAATAATGTGGTTTGTTTTGATGCCATTGACATTATTGACGATAAAACTGTTGAAGCCAATGAAATTATAAATAGTGATGCTGTTGATATTCGTGAAGACAAAATGAAACATATTAACAAAAGTGTAAATAATGTTTCTGAAATTGATGACAAAATGAAACATATCAACAGAAGTGTAAATAACGTTGTTTCTGAAACTGATGATAAAACGAAACTCATCAACAGAAGTGTAAATAACGATGTTTCTGAAACTGATGATAAAATGAAACATATCAACAAAAGTGTAAATAACGATGTTTCTGAAACTGATGATAAAACGAAACTCATCAACAGAAGTGTAAATAACGATGTTTCTGAAACTGATGATAAAACGAAACATTTCAACAGAAGTGTAAATAATGATGTTTCTGAAACTGATGATAAAACGAAACATATCAACAGAAGTGTAAACAATGATGTTTCTGAAATTGACGACAAAACTAAACATCTCAACAGAAGTATAAATATTGTTGGTTCTAAAAATAAAGATAAAATGAAACATATCAACAGAAATGTAAATATTGATGTTCCCGAAACTGATGACAAAATTAAATACATCAACAGAAGTGTAAATAATGATGCTTCTGGAATCGAAGATGTTGATACAAATGCTGTAGACGCTCATATTGACATAACTGATGAAGATGATAATATTGTAGATGTTGATAAGCATGTCGTAGATAATGTTGACGTTGACATTTATGATACTAACGCTGATGATTATGGTGGTGATGATGATGATGATGATGATGATGATGACGATGACGATGACGACGACGACTGCATTTTAAACTATTCCGCCCTTAAGTTTTTAAGTGTTAATGTATGTGGACTAAGAAAAAGATTAGAGTACTCGGATTTTGTTAACCTTATAGAAAGTAAACATATTATCGGACTGCAAGAAACTAAAACAAATGAATTAGATGACATACATCTTGACGGGTATACACTATCGCTCAGGAATAGAGTAAAAACTAACAGAAAATCAGGAGGAATTGGAATAGCTGTTAAGAACGAGTACAAAGATTTTATTACATTAGTAGAGAAGGATAATGATTATGTAATGTGGATAAAAATGTCAAAAACTTTATTTGATATTGAGCAAGATCACTATTTAGGAATAGTGTATATCCCCCCCCGATGGATCCAGATATGTTACGAATGACACTTTCCTCGACCTAGAACATTCAGTTATGCATAAGCTTACGAAAAGTGAATATGTTACGCTAATGGGTGATTTCAACTCCAGAACAAATACCTTATGTGATTATTCTGTATACGATGACTTATTCTGTATACGATGACTTTCTTACTGAAGAGTTTGATTTAGATGAAACTGGAGATATATGCCCTGAGAAATATTTACATGATTTAAACCTTCCTCTAGGAAGATCATCTCAAGATGTCGGTAAAGTAAACAATTTTGGCTATGCACTTATAGATATTTGTAAGAATTTGAATTTATTCATTGTAAATGGAAGGGTGGGAAATGATAAACATATTGGGAAGTTAACTTGTAATGACAAAAGTTTAATCGATTATGTTCTTACTTCCCCCAAAAGTTTAAAACTTTTTACCGATTTTGATGTTTTAGACTTTTCTCCCCTCACGTCAGATGTCCACTGCCCATTATCGTTTACACTGACAAGCAAGTATATTCCCGATGTAGTAAAGCAACCTAAACTTAGTTATCATGTAGATAACAGTAAAACGGCTAAACCTAAACGTTATAATCTCGATAAAAAAGCAACTTTTCGCCAAAATGTTGACATGAATAAAGTAAATAAACTTACAAATCTTGTCCGTACAGCGGTATCCAACCATGAAGATTTATCGATTATCAACACGCTCTCCGATCGCCTCGCGCACGTGCTTGTTAATGCTGCACGTGAAACATTTGGGACACGACAACAGATGAAATACACACCCCGCTATCGTAAGAACAAGCCGTGGTTCAATACAAAATGTAGAAAGTTCAGAAAAAGATTCCATAAAGCAAAACGAAAAGTTAAGGAAAATAAATTACAGTCTAATCTTGAAAACCTACGCACCGAATCGAGAGCTTACAAGAAATGCATAGATGAACATATTAGAAAACATAGGATATTTCTTGAAAATATGTTTAGAGAAAAAATGAAAAAGTCACCGAAAGAATACTGGGAATGTCTCAAAGATAGAAACCCGAAAGATAACATCGCGATGCCTGATACCAAAACATTTCTTGAATACTATAGAGATCTAAATGCAGAAAATTACAGCGAACATGTATTGAATTTCAAAGAAAGTA